TAGCTATCTATTTAGCTATTTCAGCTTGAACAGACTAAAGCAGGCGCACCATCAAAAAAGAAAATGAGGGTGTAAAAGCAGAAAGAGTAAAAGAAATACGGGTAAAATGGTAAGAAGTACGGAAAAATAGGAAAGAGGAAGGAAAAGGAGAAGAAGAAGGAAAAGGAGAAGAAAGAAAGGGAGAAGAAGAAGGAAAGGGAGAAGAAGAAGAAGAAGAAGGAGAAGAAGGAAAGGGAGAAGAGGAAGGAAAAGAAGAAGAAGGAAAAGAAGAAGAAGGAGAAGAATGAAAGGGAGAAGAGGAAGAAAAAGAAGAAGAAAAGGGAGAAGGAGAAGGAAAAAAGAAGGAAAGGGAGAAGAAGAAGAAGGAAAAGGAGAAGAAGAAGAAAAAAGAAGAAGGAAAAGGAGAAGAAGAAGGAAAAGGAGAAGAAGAAGAAGAAGAAAAAAGAAGGGAGAAGAGGAAAAAAAGCAGAAGTGATGAATGAATGATTGAAAAATGGACTTTAAATAAGAATTGAGAAAGATTTTTTTTTTAAAAAAATAGATGAACGGGTCATCATTTAGAAATTGAGGTAAGGCCGATTAATTTTACAGTTTCAGTGAAGCCCCTTGTCACCCAACAAAATCACAATCATAAACCCGATCTGACTTCCGGATTAATCCTCCCCCCATTGTGTCTGTCGACACGAATTCTCGTTATCAAAAAAAATTCCATTTCGTCTCATTTAATCTCAAATAATGTACATGTGAGTGTATGCGTGTGTAATTTTGCACCCTGTCATCAATATATATATATATATATATATATATATATATATATATATATATATATATAGTTCTTGTAATTTATTTTCATATACACAGGTAGAGACACATCCATATAGAAAACGATGTGTGACTGAATGTATACAACCACATACCTCACACATAGTATTATATATATATATATATATATATATATATATATATATATATATATATATCCACAGACAGACAGATTGTTTCGTTGTATCACAGTTCATCCGTGTGGCTAGACGTCCGGTTGCCTCTAGCTATTGGCGTCAGTCGAAGGATTCTACGACTAAGCCTTTGGCGCACGGCAGGGCTGAAGGTGCTTTAAGCATATTTATTTTTAGATAAACACTCAGTAACTGAGAGAACTCGATTCGATTTACCGAAGAGTCTTGCATTTTTAGACGTAATAGTCACTGTTTACAAAGCCACACTTCCTCTACAACAGAGAGTTCAACTGAAAGAAATTTTTCAGGAGCATATGTATTGTCATACACAAACATACTGTTTCGTTGTATCACAGATCATCAGTGTGGCTAGACGTCTGGTTGCGTCGAGCTAGGATATATATATATATATATATATATATATATATATATATATATATATATATATATAGTTTATGCGTTACAATTTATTTAGGTAAATGAGCTGTTTCTAATTAAACAGTATTAATTACATTTCCTGGCCTGAATGTTCGAGAAATTTTGTAAAAATTATAAGTTCCCGACAGGAATCGAACCTGCGTCTTATACGGAAACAGTGATTTGATCTGATTTGGCATACCCACACATGTATCTATTTCAATAAATCTTTGAAAAATCATAGAACCGTGACCCAGAAAAATTATTGTAAATAAATATTTTTAATGAGTCCAGTTGCATTTTCAAATTATTTTTCTTACTCATTTTCTTACTTGATATATATATATATATGTGTGTGTATGTGTGTATGTGTGTGCGTGTGTATATATATATATCATACATATATATATTCATATATATATACATATATATATATATATATATATATAAGGCTCAAACACTAATATTCCATGGTTATAAATTATTACATTGGAATCATAATGACGATCCAATTCATCAGACCTACAAATTCAATTTTCAATTGAATATATATATATATATATATATATATATATATATATATGACCACTATATATATATATATATATATATATATATATATATATATATATATATATATATATATATATATATACACACAAATGTATTTGCATTGACAAGTCCAGGTAATTTTTTTCCCTTGAACGAAATGGCCATCTCTATGGGGGTAAATTGTTTGGGTTTCATTGATTGTAATTCACATCTACATACATATATATATATATATATATATATATATATATATATATATATATATATATATGATGGACAAGGAAATTTTTATTGGTTTTTATTTAGCACAACACACGATGGCTCGAAATAAACGAATCTATTGAATTCAAAAACTGCACAGTCTAAACGTAAAAAGGAACTAACAACATCAAAATACGCCCATCCCTGCTCGAAAATGGCTAAGGAAGTGGCCGAAAGCCCTTGGAACAATGGACGATATTGACAATTTCTGTACTCCCTCATTGCTAAGAAACGGAAAAATTAATGAATGCTGGAAAAACTAAATAAGAACTAATAAAATATTTATTGTCTTCCATATTTAACGAAATATGTTTAAAAGAAACGTTGTTTCACAAATATATATATATATATATATGTATATATATATATATATTTAGGCAGCAATCCTTCCTTTATGCATGTTTCATTAAAAACGACAGACAAGGTACTACGGTTGAACTTTTTATTTAATTTTTCTTGTGTTCTGACAAGAGCTTTCTTTTCTGGACAAAGAGTGTGTAAGAACTGTCCTAATGTTCTGTATTTCCGAGCGCTTTCATTATACCTTTAGCCATTATCAAGGATGATTCGATTATCAGCTTAGTAGAGTGTGTGTGTTCTGTGTATGTTCAGTGTGTGGTAGTGATGTTTTAGTTTCCGAATACGGTTAGCACGTTGTGGCTTTGTTCATAGTTAATATTGTTAAGAGTTGGCTTTTTTTTTTTTATTATTAGGGCTTCCATTATTTTTAGTCTTTTTGCAAGTGGATGCAGTTAATATATTTGTGTTTTCTACTAGTATGTTCCTAATAGTGTCAGGTAAATCTGAGTGTGTGTTTAAATGTGTTCTGATGGAACTGTGATCAGATAGGTGTAATGTAAGACGTCTGGATAAACATGTAGTTGTGTAGCCGATGTAATTATTTATGAGTCCTTATATTACACACACACACACACATATATATATATATATATATGTGTGTGTGTGTGTGTGTGTGTGTGTGTGTGTGTGTGTGTGTGTGTGTGTGTGTGTGTGTCTGGATAAGAGTTTTATGTTTTGAAAAGTTCTCCGTTGGTTCCATCAAAATATATATATATATATATATATATATATATATATATATATAGATAGATAGATAGATAGATAGATATAGGTGAACGGACTAAAAAAGTATAGACATATATACAGATTCAAATAAATAGGTAACAAATTCATCGGTATATAATCCAAGTTAATCCTAGTAATATAAAATATTAAACCTCATTAAAATTCATTAAACCTCAATGTATTTATTATTACAGATCAAATAATTAATAAGCAATAAAATCCCAAATCACCTCATATGGGCTCACACACACCTATGATTACATTGTTTTTATGTGTATTTCTGTGTCTGTGTGCTTTTGTGTGTTCGTATATATTGAGGTATGATGGCCCATAAGAAAGAGTGTTTACATATATATATATATATATATATATGTGTGTGTGTGTGTGTGTGTGTGTGTGTGTGTGTGTGTGTGTGCATTCCCTACACCTCCCGACGTAGCCACATATTTGGAAGGTTGAAGACTGGCGGCAGGTGTGTGTGAGAGGGAGAGAGTGAGAGTGAGAGTGAGAGAGAGAGAGAAAGTGAGATAGACGGGTCGATAAAAAAAAAAAGAGGAAATAACTTTTATTTATTTTAATGTGAATCGCAATGTGTTTTCACAGCGTTTTTATAGAAACAGGTCATGCGGGATGCCAGCCTAATCAGCCGTCAACGGTGATGCTTCTCAGCAACAGTCTATCAGGTCAGTAAATTGACGACGGCCGCCACAGCAGCAGCAGCAAGAAGAAAAAGAAGGAAAAGGAGGAGAAGACGAGGAGGAAAAGGAAGAAGAAGAAAAGGAGGAGGAAGAAGAAGAAGAAGAAGAGTAAGAAGAAGTTGAAGAAGAAGAAGAGGAAGAAGAAGAAGAAAGAGGAGGAAGAAAAAAAAAGAAGAAGAAAAGGAGGAAAGAAGGAAGAAAAAAGAAGAAGAAGAAAAAGGAGGAAGAAGAAAGAGAAAAGAAGAAAAAGAAAAAGAGGAAGAGGAAGAAGTAGAAGTAGAAGAGGAGGAAACGGAAGAAGAAGAAAAGGAGGAGGAGGAGGAAGAAGAAGAAGAGTAAAAAGAAGAAGAAAAAGAGGAAGAGGAAGGAATAGAAGTAGAAGTAGAAGAGGAAGAAGAGGAGGAAACGGAAGAAGAAGAAATGGAGGAGGAGGAGGAGGAAGAAGAAGAAGAAGAGTAAGAAGAGGAGGAAACGGAAGAAGAAAAAGGAGGAGGAAGAATAAGAAGAAGAGGAGGAAGAAGAAGAAGAGTAAGAAGAAAAAGAAAAAGAAAAGGAAGAAGGGGAGAAAAAGGAAGAAGAAGAAAAGGAGGAGGATGAAGAATAAGAAGAAGAGGAGGAAGAAGAGTAAGAAGAAGAAGAAAAAGAGGAAGAAAAAGAAGAAGAGGAAGAAGAGGAGGAAACGGAAGAAGAAAAGGAAGAAGAAAAAAAGGAGGAAGAAGAAGAGTAAGAAGAAAAAGAAGAGTAAGAAGAAGAATAGGAAGAAGGGGAGGAAGAGGAGGAAAAGCAAGAATAAAAGCAAGAACAAAAGGAGGAGGAAGAAGAAGAAGAAGAGTACGAAGAAAAAGAAGAGTACGAAGAAGAAAAAAAGAGGAAAAGGAAGAAGACAAATAATAAGAAGAGGAGGTTGAAGAAGAAAAGGTGGGTGGGGGAGAAAAAGAAGAAGAAAAGTAAGAAGAAAAAAAGAGGAAGAGGAAAGAAAATAAGATGAGTAAGAAGAAGAGAAAGAAGTGGAAGTGGAAAAAGATAAAGA